TATATATATATATATATATATACCAAATATATATATAAAACAAATAAAGACACAAATAACGATGTATGCAACGTAATCAGTTGCTGCTGCACTGATATGAGTATGCAACAATATAATAATAACGTGAAATAATTTAATGTAAACGCGAAGCGTAATGCAAAAACGATAAAAAAAAAGAGAATTCAATATTGAATACAACAGAAAGCAGAAATGTTGAAAACAAGAAAAACTCGCATAAAGCATTAACGACGTAAAAAACAGGCGCGTTTTCGCAATTCAGAGCGTAACTGCCTGGCTTTTCGTTGTAATAAGTAGAAAAAGTGGGGCCCACGAAAGTCGTCTATGATAATACCGAGACATACCCATTAAAAGTTATAAATAATCTATCGTATTTTATGAAATAACAATCTATATTGATCTTCGAAACATTGTGTGTTGTGAACAGATAATTAAATAACAGAAAAATTAATTGTACATCAAGTAAATGCTAAACTCTCGATAATCTTGCTGAAATGACAAAAACTATTATAATGAAGAAACGGTTAAATGAATCGCACAGAATTCATTTTTTACGAACTACGTGTCGCGCGCAACGTATTGCAAAGCACGTTGTCGCGAGATAACACGCTCGATTTTTCGAAGGAAAACGGTTATTTTCGTTTTGTTTCAACGCCACTTTTCTAGCACAGAATATTATACGATATGCTGCCAAGTATAGGGTTCTCATTAACACTTTTAACATATATTTATCAACATTATATCCTTTATTCAGAGAAACGTCCCGCTTTCTTATGTATCTTCTGTACGTTTATTGTCCTTCTTCTTTTTATATTTTTAGAGCTTTAGGTTGTCTTGCAGGAATCTTGAAAAAAAGAAAAACTATTTAATTTTCAATAACTTGTTTTAAATGCTAGATTAAAAATAGAAAAGAAAAAAAAACATATATTGTATATTTACGTTTCTCATCTACTTTAGAGGTATACGCAGTGAGACGGGCGTCGTGTTACGCGTATACACATGTGTTCTTCTTATCTTTTAACTTCTAACTGTAGCCCATACGAGTAGAATCGAACTTCTCATAGCGATCCGACGTTAAGCATAATAATGAAAAAAAGAGGAACCACCTCTCTGAGTTATTGCGCACTTGACAATTATAAATTTTAAGTTTTCCTTAACGTAGTTTTGCTTATACGTAATAAATGAGATATAAACTAAAATAACGATAGCGAAACGCAAGTGTAATGTAATAAAGTAAAAAAGTAAAAAAAAAGAGATATCGATGTAGATGAAAAAAAACGCATGTGGGCCCCGACACACATCTTATATATTCTTATTAAATATTACATAACATATAACTACGCTATTATTTTTCATAGGGAAGGAAAAGATTACACGCATACGCGCGATAACATATATACTTGATAATTAGTACGTTTGTTTTCCCGTTCTTTTTTTTACTTTCTCTTCTTATATCCGAAGGAAGAAAAATATTAAACGACGCGAAAGCGCATGGGATATATATGTGAAAAAGGAAGGAAATATACGCGTATATTACTATTTACGTGGATGTATTTGTGTGAGAGAGAGAGAGAGAGAGAGTGAACGCCCTTTCGAATTTTTCAACTAACAATAAGATAAATTGCCCTGTGTTCGAACTGTCGCTTGAGTTACCGGTTTATGAAGGGAGAAAACAGGAAAGAAAAAGAAGGCGGAATTCGTTCATCGATCCGAAAAAAATTGTACATGCGCTCAGCTGTTATTGATGATTATATAATTTGGCTTCGGTGGGTCGGTCAGCGTACGTTGCGAGACAATGCGGTATGTAAACTGTACCTACATTTCGAATCGTCTTTTTTCAGTGCTATTATCGGGTGGATATTGAGAGATAGAGAAAAAAGGAAATATAGGATCTTGCAACGAATACAAAGAAAAAAAAAAAAGATCAAATCCCTTAAGTTGAATAAAAACTTTATCCGCACAGAAAAGAATATTATATTTGTAGCACGTGATCATTTGTGATAATTAATTAGCTACTGGTGGATGCCGAGAGTTCGCTAATTCGCACGTAGCCGACCCATCCGCAATCTTCGCATTTATATAAAACGCAGCTGCATTGATGTATTCTAGTTGGATTATTAATACCATTGTAAACATTGTACTGTTGTAACATGTACCCCATTCATGTCTGGTGTCGAGCAGAGCTGATTCTATGCTTTCGCTAGTTAAAAAAAAAAACAAGGGATCGTGTGCACAAGTTTCTGAGTAACTATAATTCGTACAACTTCCGTGATCCTACATGGGGGATATTACGTGATTTAACAGAATAAAGAAACGGAGCAAAAGAGAAGAAAGAGTAAAGAGAATCAGTGCTGGCGCGAACACGAGGCAGAACCGAAAAAAAAAGATTATCGTAAATCTAAAGACACATTTAAACTACTTTTTAAAAAGCGAATACATATTTGGAGAGTAGCAGGTAAATAATTAATATAAATGTAGTGGCAACTCTATATAATATTACTGCAAAGAGAAAAAAGAAAAAAAAGATATATACGATGATTATTCGAAGTATAAAATGCGAAACGCACTCTTAATGGATGTTATAACGATTTAGAAATATTTAAATTTACAGCAAGTATTATCAATACTTGCTGTAAATCTGGCTTTTGGAATGCAAGTGCTCTGCCGGTCTTCCTACCACAGGAAATTTTCTTTCCTAGAGAGACGGAGAGAGCAGTTGATCCAATTGGCAGATACATTTAAGTTTCCTCCTTTTTTTTCAAGAGCATAATATTTAACCCTTCATTTATCTTTTATAAACGCAACCTCTCACAACACACATACACACGCAAAATTAGAGTATTTAAGATTTGTAGGATCCTCAGTTCAATTTATAAAGAAGTCATGCGCGACATGCGCAGCTTTTGTAAGCGATAACAAACTTTAAATCGAGTCCTGTAAGAAAGCTCTTAGCATGAGTAGAGAGATTGAGAGAGAGAGAAAGAGAAAGAGAGAGGAGAGAGAGAGAGAGAGAGAGAGAGAGAGAGAGAGAGAGAGAGATGAAGAGGGAGTTTGGATATGGTTGGCTGATATTTTCGGAAGTTTAATGATTTATTGAAAACGTGTTGTCATGTCTTGAATACAATTAAAAGAATATGAAAAATTACATCCCGAGTAAATACTTTACTTCCTAATCCACTTATATTATTACAATTACATTTATGTTTATCCATGTATTATTTATTTATTTACGATTACATTTTATCCATTTATAAATGCTCCATACAAAAGAGTGACATGCAAAAAATCGTTAATATATAAAGCATAAGTCCTTATTTTAATGTAAGATAATTTCATTTTATTAATTTCGAATACTCTATGTTGCAACATGCAAAATATTCCTAACAATATTAGCTATTATAATATAGCTTATTAAAAAGAATATAAAGACAGGAAGTGTGAAGAGTTGATTGTGTACGTGAAAAGTTGATTGTAATATTTCATTATAATGTTGTTGTTTATATGAGAATTAGTTATTAAATTTAAACATTCAATAAATAAAAAAAGAACCTTATTATCATAGGGCAGTACGATTTATCATTTTTTTCATTGTACTATTATTATTAAGTATATCACTTATATAGCTTTCTGAGAGAACTACTAATCCCCTCACTTACTGGATAGATGTAAAGTTTTTTCTTGTACTTTTCTACGTCAACTATATGATGATCTGCAATTTCCTTATTCTGTTCATTGGTTATATATTCCAAAACGAAGTACTGCGCTTTCTTGTTATCCTCTGCAGTATCTACAACTTTTTAAAATTTTAATTTTTTTAGTAATTTAAGTATAATCCAACAAAAAAGATGGAAGATAAAAAATGTCACAAAATTAGAACTAAAAAAACAATTACATTAAATTGAACCGATGAATCTAATTAACTAAGAGAAATCCTATTATTGTCAAAGTATATCTTAGTGCTTAAATATATTGGTGTTCAACAAAAAAATTATTTACTTACTACTTGCTTCCTTGACTGCACTTTCTTTCGGATCAGTTCCTACTACATGTACGCTCAATTTTCTGAAATTACTTCCGTTCAATGTGTGCTTTGTAGACCATTCTCTTAATTCGTTGATTTTTATATCTTTTATTGCGAGTACTTCCCTCTCGAGTCTGTCAAACATATATTGCCAATGCGTGATCTCATGCCAGTTTCTATTAACTTCTTCTTCAAGATCGATATCGGCACATTGCTTTAATTTTCTTAGTGCCTCTTTGGCATCATCCAATTCTTCTTCTGAGAAATCTTCCAAAATCTTATTAAACGATTTTAAAAATTCTTCGATCCGCTGATCCACATGTTCGGTTGTATATTTATCTGCCTGAGTGTGAACAGTAATAGAATATCCTAAGATTCCGTTGATCTCTCTAAGAACGCAAGAGACATCATAACCAAGCTGTTCTTGAGTTCGCAACCGATTGAATAACGGTTCTTCCATTATCATCTATAAATAAAGTGCGGATGAATATGATGCAGATAAAATCAATCGCGACAATCAAAGATGTTATTCATATACTTTTACAAATAAATTAACTGTAAACTGAAGATTCCATGCATTAAAAATATATGAAACTAAGTTATTTAATACTTACGATCATCAGATCGATCAACACCGATAATTCGATCGATTCGACACCAGCTTGATAATAATTTGTTATTACTGAATTTGCATCAATTTTGTTGATATTTTTTAACTTGCAACAGGACGTGCCCACCGGTATCTGAAAGACTCTCATCTGTGGTATCATACTAGAAGTCAAGGGACCGCAATTAATTATTTTAACACATTTGTGTACGGTATCGATCGCAGCGTTCTGCGTCAAGTTGCCTTGCACGAGGCACTGAATGAACAAATGATTGGTGAAAAATTTCACAAAACCTTGGAATTCTTCAAAATTGATACCACGTAGAGCAGTGTGCATGTCAACGTGTGTATAGTGAGAGAGTTTCAATATCCATAATCTCAC